TCGTGCAATGAGTGTTTTCTACTCACGTCTCCTCCGATTGAATACTAGGAAAATGGGATAAATGCTCGGTCAAATGTCAAGCATTTATGCCACTCTCCGAGTACCCAAATCTTCCAGATCGGCATCAAACATCAACCGAGCATTGAATACTCGGAGGGAATAGTTCATCGGGAGAGCCGATCACGTCGTCCCGACGTATCAGCCATTAATGCATAGCCATCATGACAGTAGGCTTAGACTCCCAGAGGACAGGTGTTGACAGACACGTATTTATTTGTCTTGTCACTATCACTCGTTCTACCATGAATGAGGGGTCACATCACATTAAATATGATGTCAACTGTCATACTCGACTGCTCCGTGTCACCATATCTCGGCTTACCTCCTCGGCACCCTTTAGATATCCCAACGACTTCATTATTCCACGCATCAATCCGGGGGCTATAGAGCCACCTAGAGTCCCGCCGGTTACTATTCCCAAAATAGAAATAGTGCCAAAAATGGAGTCTAGTGCAAGTGATTAAGAAGTTCAGATGACATGATTTGAGTTGCAATCTTACCAGCTGGATAGCAATTCTATTCTTCCTCAAGAATAGACTAGATTCATTCAACTATTCCTTTGATTGGATCGTTGTTGAAAACAAAATTTGTAACGGAAACAAGAAGAAAAACACCAGAAATGAATGCACAAGTGCCTGGAAATTGTGTTGGTCATGGCCCACCCATTGGACTTCCAACTTTAAGAACATGATAGGGAAATTACTTCTTAGTCATAGGCTACAAAAAAATATCGGCATTCCAACTATATAACTAACGAATTAACTCATTGGCGCCTTTTAACACGTTCGATTAATATTTTCAAACACACGGAGTTCATACGTGAACTCCGTGTGAACTGTTGACACAAACTTGTCTACCCAGTATTAAAACTCGTTTATTTTCATACGTGACGCATTGGTTGATTGAGCTTATTAATTCTAGGTAAGCAGGTCCAGACTGGTTTTNCCATTTTTCCACCATCTCAACGATGTCATGGGTCATGAGGTCACGCCCCCCAAGGCCCTGATCCACATGGAGCGTTCTTTGTGAAGAATGTCCTACCCCATCTGATTAGCCTAATAAACCCAGCTCCAGAACCATTGGAAGCCGGATGGGCTCTACCTTCCTAGCCCGTACACTTGTTCCCTCACCCTGAGATCGAGTTTTCACCATCAGACGATTGCTACCAGAAAAAATGCCTTCGTTCCCACAGACGGCGCCAAATTGCATGGGATAATTCCTGCAATAATATGAGACAGCGATCTCCCAGCTGGCGAACCTAAAATAACAGGGTCAGAAAAAAGGGGGTCAAGTGAGCGCCCGGCTAATCCCCTCTGAAGCTTAAGTCAGTATAAAGTCGAAGGGTTTTGCTCAATGGACTATTTTTCTGATTCAAGTTTGCGTACCTTTGTCCATTTTTCTGAGGAATATTTATACTTGAATTAGCAATGATTGTCAAAAATCTCAAGTCTCATCTGGACATCTTACATCTGACACATCATTCCTCGTGCAATGAGTGTTTTCTACTCACGTCTCCTCCGATTGAATACTAGGAAAATGGGATAAATGCTCGGTCAAATGTCAAGCATTTATGCCACTCTCCGAGTACCCAAATCTTCCAGATCGGCATCAAACATCAACCGAGCATTGAATACTCGGAGGGAATAGTTCATCGGGAGAGCCGATCACGTCGTCCCGACGTATCAGCCATTAATGCATAGCCATCATGACAGTAGGCTTAGACTCCCAGAGGACAGGTGTTGACAGACACGTATTTATTTGTCTTGTCACTATCACTCGTTCTACCATGAATGAGGGGTCACATCACATTAAATATGATGTCAACTATCATACTCGACTGCTCCGTGTCACCATATCTCGGCTTACCTCCTCGGCACCCTTTAGATATCCCAACGACTTCATTATTCCACGCATCAATCCGGGGGCTATAGAGCCACCTAGAGTCCCGCCGGTTACTATTCCCAAAATAGAAATAGTGCCAAAAATGGAGTCTAGTGCAAGTGATTAAGAAGTTCAGATGACATGATTTGAGTTGNTATGCTGCAATGAGGGGTATCTACAAAATCTTTTAAAAATAAAACATGTAAAAATGAGAAATTAGCAAGAAATATAATTCTTCTTCGAAATGTGAAAGGAAAAAGGGTTCCTGCTGAATTTAAAATCTCCCAATAGCAAGTGATCACAAAACTATTCAATATCCATTACAGGTAGAAAAAGCAACATAAACTCTTTAAGTGGGTTTCTAGCACAGCATAATATCCAACAGCCTTCCTAAAGATACATATTTGTAAACCTAAACACCAATGCTTTCAGGCATGTTTGTCTATCTGATACAATAAGTTGTCTTACTTGAGAGAGATGGCAAAGGAAGGCTTGACGCGCCAAGATGCATGCTGATCCATGGGTAAATTGCAGTCTTTCTTCTCTTTCAGATAGGCCTACCCTTCGGAACAATTTGATCTTTGAGCCACATGTAAATTGGAACTAGGACAAAGTAGGTTGCTGCAATTGCACCGAGAATGAAGCGCAAGAAAAACACAAATGGATTCACTGGCTTCTCCACATCCTCTGCCTTTGGACCTAGCTGTGACACGAAACACATTGAAGGAAAGGTTTCGTAAGTAAAGACAATTGATGCATTTGTTGCTGAATTTAACTTCAAAAATACTCATAATACAATGTGCTAAAGATCAAATCTCAACATCCACTAATTTGACAGTTCCTTTCAAGAAGCAGTGTAGTCCATTTCTAGAAAGTGAAGCCAGATACCAACATACATTTCACAAGATTAACTCTCCAAAATGAAATTCATTTGGAGATTATATAAAACTAAGTCATCTGAGTCAAAGAAGCCTTTTTGGATTTCTCTTGGTGAGCCAATCCTTGTCCAGGGTTTTGGTATGGGTTGTTTTGCATGGGATTCTCCTTTTGTATGTTAGCCCAAACTTAATCAAACCTGTTTAGCAATGCACATGGCCTTTTAATAAGTATTTGTCCTGCCAGTTAAATTTTAGGGCAAAATCCAGTTTACCCCCTTGTGGTTTGGTCGTTTTGCACATCACCTCCTTGTGGTTCAAAAATTAGCACATAACCCCCTTGTGTTTTTGGACTAAAGTGCATAGGTAACACTGTTAACGGCAGTGGCAAAAAGACCATTTTGCCATCCTTAAAATCTGAATAAACTTTGTCACCACATCTTCTCCAACCCAACCGCATCTTCACCTACTGTTCAACTCTCCACTGAATCACTAGTTATTGGCCATCACCACTAAATCACAACTGCTTACAAAAACTAATTTTTATTTTTTTGTGATAAAAATTTAAAAATATAAAAAATGTTTGATAATTATATATATTTAAAAAATTATGAAAATAAATACATGTTTAGGGTGGATTTTCGGTATGATTTGCAGAATCAAGTGATGATTTGTAGAATAAAGAAACAGAGTTTGGGCAAAGTTCTTCACATGTTATTGCTACATCATCTCTAACAAATGCTGGCTCTTCCAAAAACCTACTAGAAGCAGCAGAAGACACCATTGAAGAGCTTCGTTCAGAAGCTAAGAGGTGGGAGAGAAATGCACAGAAGTTAATGCTCGATCTAGACATATTGAGAAAGGAATTCACTGATCAATCAAAGAAATATGCAAATTTGGACTAAAGTGCATACCGAAAACCCACCCCCACCAACAACCCAACACCACCGAAACCCCCATCCCCAAACCCCACGAAAAACCAACCCCAACACCCCCTGGAACCCCCACTCCCAACACCACCTAACCCCACCACAAACCCACTCCCCAAACCCCTTGCAATCCACCACCCACCACTAACCACCCATACCGAAAACCCACCCCCACCAACAACAACCCAACACCCCTAAACCCCACTGAAAACCACTCCCAACACCCCCCTAAAAACCCACGCCCCAAACCCCCGAAAACCAACCCCCAACAACCCCTGAACCCCATCCCCAAACCCATTAAAAAACCTCACCATCCCCACCGAAAACCACAAGAACAAATACAAGAGAGAGGACGCGAGAGCTGGAGAGGCACAGAAACGAGAAAAGAGAAATGAGGATTTTTTTTTTCTAACAATAAAATGTATAAAAAGATAAAAAAATGTCTTTTTGAAAGATCACAAGGGTATATTTGGAGAGTTTTGACTTTGACTTAAATTTTTTACATCCATACTTGCAAATCTAGCGCGTGTGTCACAATTTCTGTCACTTTTGACAGAAATAGTAACGGTCGCACTTTAGTCCAAAAATACAAGGGGGCTATGTGCTGATTTTTGAACCATAAGGAGGTGATGTGCAAAACGACCAAACCACAAGGGGTAAACTGGATTTTGCCCTAAATTGTATCTATTATCTCTAGCAGATAACTAAATTCAAACAGAATTCTTTCAGGAATTGAAACCTTTACCATTGCTAATGCTAGGTAGTTCGTGAACCACCTAGTAGTCTGTTCACAGAACACTGACAGGGATGGAAAGAGCAAATCTGCAACAAGATAACACCACCCTCTCCAACTATCCACAGGCATCCATCATTTAGTGATGTTTAAAACACAAGGAGATGCTCCCCAGCCTTAGAGGCGGTTTCAGCATTGCAATCCTTTTTGCCCTCTAAATATCTTTACTATTCATCACTTGATGTATGGAATGACATTTTCTCACCTATTTTAGCGAAAGAAGTCTGAAAAATTTCTTGGTGCCTAAAGCTACCACTGTGCAAAAGTGAAAGTTCAATGAGCAAAGCCTTTACCAGTTGGTCCTTGTACCAAATTTATCAGTTGCTTTGTGCTTAAACATTTTCTCATATTTTTTAAATGTTTTAAGGTAGATTAATGGGGGTGACAATAACTTCAGAACTCAATTCAATATCCTTTCTCATAATCAGATTTGGCTAATGCATTCAATGTAATACATGTATTTTATGACTCTCCAGAGTCGTTGCTTGGATTAGTCAAACAATGCTCGGGTTGGCAAGCACANGAATCAAGTGATGATTTGTAGAATAAAGAAACAGAGTTTGGGCAAAGTTCTTCACATGTTATTGCTACATCATCTCTAACAAATGCTGGCTCTTCCAAAAACCTACTAGAAGCAGCAGAAGACACCATTGAAGAGCTTCGTTCAGAAGCTAAGAGGTGGGAGAGAAATGCACAGAAGTTAATGCTCGATCTAGACATATTGAGAAAGGAATTCACTGATCAATCAAAGAAATATGCAAATTTGGACTAAAGTGCATACCGAAAACCCACCCCCACCAACAACCCAACACCACCGAAACCCCCATCCCCAAACCCCACGAAAAACCAACCCCAACACCCCCTGGAACCCCCACTCCCAACACCACCTAACCCCACCACAAACCCACTCCCCAAACCCCTTGCAATCCACCACCCACCACTAACCACCCATACCGAAAACCCACCCCCACCAACAACAACCCAACACCCCTAAACCCCACTGAAAACCACTCCCAACACCCCCCTAAAAACCCACGCCCCAAACCCCCGAAAACCAACCCCCAACAACCCCTGAACCCCATCCCCAAACCCATTAAAAAACCTCACCATCCCCACCGAAAACCACAAGAACAAATACAAGAGAGAGGACGCGAGAGCTGGAGAGGCACAGAAACGAGAAAAGAGAAATGAGGATTTTTTTTTTCTAACAATAAAATGTATAAAAAGATAAAAAAATGTCTTTTTGAAAGATCACAAGGGTATATTTGGAGAGTTTTGACTTTGACTTAAATTTTTTACATCCATACTTGCAAATCTAGCGCGTGTGTCACAATTTCTGTCACTTTTGACAGAAATAGTAACGGTCGCACTTTAGTCCAAAAATACAAGGGGGCTATGTGCTGATTTTTGAACCATAAGGAGGTGATGTGCAAAACGACCAAACCACAAGGGGTAAACTGGATTTTGCCCTAAATTGTATCTATTATCTCTAGCAGATAACTAAATTCAAACAGAATTCTTTCAGGNGGAGGTGATGTGCAAAACGACCAAACCACAAGGGGGTAAACTGGATTTTGCCCTAAATTGTATCTATTATCTCTAGCAGATAACTAAATTCAAACAGAATTCTTTCAGGAATTGAAACCTTTACCATTGCTAATGCTAGGTAGTTCGTGAACCACCTAGTAGTCTGTTCACAGAACACTGACAGGGATGGAAAGAGCAAATCTGCAACAAGATAACACCACCCTCTCCAACTATCCACAGGCATCCATCATTTAGTGATGTTTAAAACACAAGGAGATGCTCCCCAGCCTTAGAGGCGGTTTCAGCATTGCAATCCTTTTTGCCCTCTAAATATCTTTACTATTCATCACTTGATGTATGGAATGACATTTTCTCACCTATTTTAGCGAAAGAAGTCTGAAAAATTTCTTGGTGCCTAAAGCTACCACTGTGCAAAAGTGAAAGTTCAATGAGCAAAGCCTTTACCAGTTGGTCCTTGTACCAAATTTATCAGTTGCTTTGTGCTTAAACATTTTCTCATATTTTTTAAATGTTTTAAGGTAGATTAATGGGGGTGACAATAACTTCAGAACTCAATTCAATATCCTTTCTCATAATCAGATTTGGCTAATGCATTCAATGTAATACATGTATTTTATGACTCTCCAGAGTCGTTGCTTGGATTAGTCAAACAATGCTCGGGTTGGCAAGCACAAGAACAAGGATTTGAGTGTGAGAGCAACCACTTTGTGCAAAAATATGCCAAAATGATTAGGGTGGCATCCAGTATGTGCCTTTAAGCACCCAGGCAACAGGCTTAAAACTCCACAACTCTTTTTTTTTTTTTTGGGTAAGTAAAAAAAAAAAACTTCACAACTCAACATACGTCTATAGTGTAAATTTATTGTATAACAAAATTCATTCTAAAAAAGGCAGTAGCAACTATGAGAATCTCTAATTAAGACCCACAAAACTCAAGTAGAACTATCAAGATGAACTGAGCCCCTATCCCAAATTGACCTTGTAAACAGAGAACTTGCGAGGAGAATTCACCACACTTGCTTATCATCCACAATACATGAACACCACTGATGTTTCCTTAAAGATGAAAGACCACTACATTTACATGATCCTAACCACATGATCACTGCCCTGAAGCAGTAAAAAACTTGCAAGAATATAAGGTTGTGTTGATATGAGGTGTGACATTATTTTTAGGCATCACAAAAATGAAGCAAATAAAGCAACAAAATGAATATATTTTCATCTAGCCGTACCCATGAAAAACACACATATAATGAACAATGCATTTCAGCTACCTGAAGGGGAGAGTCCCCTGACAGAGGCTTCACACCAGTCACAGAGCAACCCATGATCAGGCCATGTCGACGGACGCCTCGGTACCATTTTGGACCAATCCTCTTTAGTTGAACATCTTTGAAACCAGCCTTTTTAAACCACTCAATGTACTCCTCTTCTTTTGGGAAGAGCATCCACAAATCTGCAAAAAAGCGGGACAGCCAAAACGTTGGGTACACAGGGCCAATTAAGCAGGCTTTTCCCCCTATTTTAAGTACCCGGTATGCTTCCTTGATGCCTCGCTGTGGATCTGGCCAGTACTCAATGCTGAGGAAGATAATGAACACATACATTATAGACAAGCTATTGTAAGAAAATGTTTTCTCATATTAGGGAAAAAAAATCAGCAGTGACAATCACCAGCTGTTGCGTGAACGTATGTGTGATTAGCATGATTCAAGGTCACAATATTGGCCATCAACTTAGAGCACATTGAGACGCATTGGTCAGAGTGTTGTGGAACCGTATTGTGGAACGACATCAGATGAAAGGCAAGAAATGGTAGATTAAAAAAAAAAAGTTAAGCATAACAATAGATTTAGGGCATATCACGGCATCATGGAAAACTATCAGGTGATATATTGTGATTCAATGATGATAATTCAAACGACTAGGTAAGTTATTTGAGATGTCTCCTAGTCAACCATGAGTCAAGTGAGACTTGTGGTCTACACGAAATGTGTATCACAGAACGAAAGGAGTCATTCTGAATCCGACTCGACCTAGTCATACTGGTATTCACTAATATGCTATCATGCCAAAAAGAACAAAATTAAAAAATCAAATTGAGGATTGTTACTTCACATCATCAACAGCATATGCCACAACACAACAGCATCTTAATCTTCTTTTTCTTAGTTTTCAAAATTCAATTTTGATAAACTCATAACCAAACATCTACAAAAGTACATCAAATTCCAGTTTCATTCTAAACTTATAAATGTTGCAACAATTTATCCTTATTCCCCAACTTGAGACTCTGTAAATACCACCTTTGGCTTCAAAAACAGAACCATAAAAAGTAAAGAAGAGAAATTACCTTCCAGCAGAAATGTATCTATCAGCATAATCAGTGGGGAAAGGAAGATCCTCAGCATCACCCTCAATTATCTTGCATTCCTTCAAAGGCTCCTTTTGCTTAGCCTTGGCCAGCTGATGAGGTGACTGGTCCAAAATTGTCACATTCTTGGCATCAACATGCTTGATTATACCAAGAGTGGTGAACCCAGTGCCACCGCCCACATCAACCACTATCATATTCCTATCATAAAGATCAGCAGGCTCTAGAGCCTCATCCCTCATATCTTCAGTCCAATGGCCAGGGTTTATGACATGATCATAAACTATAGATAGGAACCTATAGAACCAAAATGCCTCTTTTTTGTGTTGTATGAACCTAGGCTGAGAAACAGGTCTTGAGGAAGATAAACTGCAATTTAGGGTTCTTGTTTTGGCATTGAAATTCCTAGTATAAGACACTAAACCCTTGCTCAGAAAGCATTTTCTGTGAAATTCTGACCCACTAAAAGCTAACCCCTTTGGAGTTCTGCCACTAATGAGGTTGAGATTTTCAGCTCCATTGATCATTGAAGAAGCCATGAAATGATGAAATAAATCAAACCCAGAAACAAATTCTAGTGCCTTGGGGGGATTTTGTTATCAAATTTTGAGAACCAGAGAGCAAACCCAGATGCAATCTTGAGTGAAATTAGGCTTTAGTGTAGTGTGTAATGGCTAAAAATTGGTTCTTTTCCAGTGGTGTAGTTCCTTTACAGAATATGTATGTTTCTCATAAAGCACATTTCTAAGCGTAGTCAAAGGATGGCTTACCAATTTGATTGCACTAGCAAGAAAGTTGAGTTGGAGAGAAGTACAGAGGTGGTGACTTGAGAAATGAAAGTGGTCATGGTATGCATGAGGGAGAGAGAGAGAAACTCGTCTGTTGCTCTGTTGAAGGAGAGTTATCACCGCCACATGTTGGAGGTACTGGGAAGTGGGAAGATTGAACGATCTGGGCCAAAGGAGGATAGGAATTAAAAGCTTCAATACGACGTCGTATCTTTTGTTTTAGGGCATCTTTAATAATTTTATTCTTCCCCAGTTCGTTTGATCTTATGATCTTTCCTAACCAGAAATCACATATCAGGAACAAACATTCAACTTCAGGCCATAGTTTTATTAGAAATCTTCTTATAAAGATATCACGTGTCAATAATAATGTAGTCAGCAATGTCATATATTTTTCATCGAGATTTAAACTATTAAAAACCTAACAATATTATATCCTAAAATTTACGGGTTTACAAAATAACAAGTTCAAATGTATAATTTGTATAAATTTTTGGGCTAAGCTCATGGTGTCGTTCGATTATTTTGCTCAAAACTGGACATGATCTGAATATTTGCCATCTTGATGATTATGATGTTAAAAACTGGACATGGTCTAAATATTGGCCATCTTGATGGGATGGTTTAAATACATCTAAAAAATTGTTTAAGCTCAAATTTGAACGAACTTAAAACGAGCCGAACCAGAATATTTAAATAAATGAGTACAGTTTGTTGAACTCGTTTTTTAAATAAGCCAAAAAAATTGTTCAAGTTCGGCTCATTTAAAAAATAATCTGAACCTAAACAAGCCCAAAACAAGTCAAACCCGAGCTTAGCTCTAGTCGCTAGGTTCAATTATCGGTCCTAATTCTCGGACCTCATTGCAGCAGCTGCAAGAATCACCTGGGATGCTCTAATGCTGAATGCGTAAGTGAGACATGAAGCAAAAACTAGATAAAAACATACAGTAAATACCGTTGAATGAGAAGATATATATATATACACACACAAACACACATAGTGCCACATTTTATTCCATAAATGTTGTCATAATTTCTAAAACAATTATATTAACTAAGGGGTTGTAAATGGCCCAGCAATTGTTCCTTTTTGCATGTTATGAGATAGCAGTAGCTTATGTTGTCTCCTTTGTTCCGGGGACAGCAAACTCCAAAATGTCTCAAGACCACTCGGATGGTTTCTTAACTTCCCGGAGCTGGACTGAGTTGTCGAAGCAATGGTAAAAACCATAATGTGGGAACCTCTCATACCATGTATCTTGCTGTTCATGGGTGTCCCAATGTTCACCACTGCTGCTCTTGCCATATTTGTGCACCCATCCAGAAGCATTGTGTCCTTCACCCCAGGTTCGATTCCAACGTTCTCCATACTTCCCTTCCCACCATGTCTCCCCTTGTTTCACCCCGCGACCCTGTGGATCAAAGTGCTCGTCCCATTTATCGCCCCATTTTGTCCAGCCATCACCCTCTGAACGCTCAGCCCATTTGTCGGTGTATTTCATGCTGCCACCTTGCCCATCATACTTCTCACCCCACCTGCCAAAAATTGTTGAACAATTACACTTGGTATATAATGAGGGACAACGCTGCCAAGCTGAGTATGACATATTGTTAAACCCAACTATGGAGATATTGCAATTTCTTAATCACACTTGTTACAATCAACTATCACAATGAAAATTTGTTGGAGTGAGTGCGCAAGATAAACATGACAGCAGGTACGTGATAAAAGGTAATCTGATTGCGCCTGTCACGTCAAGGTATTTACCTAATCTNGAGTGAGTGCGCAAGATAAACATGACAGCAGGTACGTGATAAAAGGTAATCTGATTGTGCCTGTCATGTCAAGGTATTTACCTAATCCCACTGGACGATAGTGAAACCCTATGACTTGATTTTTGTCAATTTATCATACCACAAAACCTAATTTGTGTATGTTTGCTTTTTAAACTGATTGCAGGACAATGTCAAACATCTCCCAAATGGAATGTATCACACAATAGATCCTTAAGAGTAGCCTCTAGCATCCAAAAGTAACTTTCAAAACATGTATTGATAGAGTAGGTGAGTAGAAAGAATCACAGAGAAGTTGATGGAATTACAGTGTCCAATCTAAAGAAAATCAGAGATAGAATCGAAGACTTCAAAATCTCAAGAAAACATAGAAGTCTTTTAATGGATGAGCTATGTGGCACTCCCATAACCATTCTAAGGAACAAAGAACCCGAGCAGAAATCAAATCCTAATCAATACAGAATGAGTAAAATTTGGTACCTTTCATGCCAAACATGAGCATGACCGACCCTAACGGGTGTATTTGGGTCAATGCTGCACCACTTGTGAGCCCATTTCTCCGCTTGGCCAGAGGCATCATAGTGTTCCCACCACTTCTCCTGCCACTCATCACCTTTTCCATTCTTCCCCCATTTATCTGCAGTTTTCTCGAGAGTCACAATCCCATGATTCTGCATAAATCCGCAACAGATACACAAAAGAAACATAAAGATCAAAAGTGGCATAATTTTAGAATACACCTATTCATAGAGCTANTAAATCCGCAACAGATACACAAAAGAAACATAAAGATCAAAAGTGGCATAATTTTAGAATACACATATTCATAGAGCNCCCCATTTATCTGCAGTTTTCTCGAGAGTCACAATCCCATGATTCTGCATAAATCCGCAACAGATACACAAAAGAAACATAAAGATCAAAAGTGGCATAATTTTAGAATACACCTATTCATAGAGCTATATGTCCAACCTGAGCCACAGTAAGATGACCCAATTCATTTGGTGCTTAATAAAGTCATGCAATGGGCAAAAGATTTGGGAGGCAAAAGACAGAGCCAGATTTTCTTGATGACTTCAGGGGTAAGCAAACCAAACCAATCAAAACAAAACCTTTTCCTTATTATTTTGGGTTGGCTACATAAAGCATTTTTCACCAGTTGATCTGTCAAGGGCTAGATGCTTTAATAAATTACTAGAAAGTATATCTTTCTTTTTTTCACTTAAGAGATGTAGGATGAATATTACAGTTGCGTATCAAGAGACCAATTCGTAACAGATGATTAAAACCTTAAGAGGGACAAAAGGAATGCATGAATCTTGTTGTAACATGGTGGTAATAGGACGATAAGAAAGCAGCAAGACAGAGCNTAAAGCATTTTTCACCAGTTGATCTGTCAAGGGCTAGATGCTTTAATAAATTACTAGGAAGTATATCTTTCTTTTTTTCACTTAAGAGATATAGGATGAATATTACAGTTGCGTATCAAGAGACCAATTCGTAACAGATGATTAAAACCTTAGAGGGACAAAAGGAATGCATGAATCTTGTTGTAACATGGTGGTAATAGGACGATAAGAAAGCAGCAAGACAGAGCTTAGTCATCCAGCTGGTGGATGGAGTCAGTCTAAAAACTTCGGTGAAGAAGTCGATAAAACTACATATAACCATGCTCACTCATCTCGTCTTCAGAATAAGTGAGAGCACCGAGAAAGGGTTTGGGGGGGTGAGGGTAGTTGTGAAGATAAGTAATGTGTATGAAATAGAAGTATGCACTATCTGATGGTCAATACACAACTGCATACACACCTGTGATATTGATTCTCTCCAGAATTCATGCCAAACATTTCCTGCAGCATCACGTCCTGATTTCTCTGAACCGAGTTCCTTATAAATAAATTCATCAGAAGCCTCCCAATATTTTTCTTCCCATTCGACAGCTTTGTCAGCACTGACACCTCTGGTCAGTGTCCACCTGCAAACCACCCCATCAGATCTTCGCTCGATTCCTGTCTCTTTCCACCACCGCGATCCATCTGGATAAACTCCATGGGATATCACTTCATTTACCTTATCAAGAGCATGAGCTGCTTCAGCCGCATGAGCTGAAAAGTGAACACCAAGTTCACGTTCCTCATCCAAGTAGGGTGTCTCTGGACTTGAGCTGGAAACTTCCACTTTTTCAACCTCCATCAGTGACTGAAGAGGTGGAAGGGGAGGGTTGTGGTTACTTTCAAAATGTTTACTCTCATATGGGATTGACAGAAAATCTGCAGGTCTATCTTTCTCCATCACGGGGCTAATTAAAGTAGAAGGAGAAGTTTTTATGGTTGGCTTCATATTACTTTCATCGTCCATATCACTATCTGGAGGCGGTGTCCAGGACCAGAAATTTGGACCTGGTGTTCCATTTCCAACATTTCCTGACTCAGATACAAAGGAGCTCCCATTCTGCATTCCTGGTCAAATTCAAAATTATGTAATGCTGCCTTGTACAGTTGGAATGCATAAATAAGAGGGAATAAATACACAATACAATTTACAGGAGGAATGACAATCCTGAAGAAGAGATATTAAGTGTTAACAGCTCCCAAACTGATTATTTAATTTAATAAAGCAGAGATCAGTTCACAAATTTAATCAAGAACAATAATGCCAAACGGCACAGAAGAGACGGAGAAAAGTCAGCAATCACACAATCAGACTTGCATATAGTTGACGAAGTAGAGTCTCAGCAGCTGATATTGAAATCTAAGTAACTGAAGCTTGCACATTAAAACATAGAAAGAAAAACTCACGATAGGAAAGTGTCACAACAAATATCTCATCTATCAATACACATTCTTAAATCCAGAATCAACAAAACTCAAATGCAGTCCTGAGATCGTATGATGTTTCATACAGTATGATGTTTTCACCTTGTACCACTTGACTAGTCTGTCTTACCAGTTATGAAGCTATGACAGTTATAGTAGAAACTGTGGAAACACGTATTCAAAATGCTATTCTGTTAAGGGTTCACTTCATCTCAGTCAAGGCAAGCATTATTTCAATTCTAACGAGTCAAAGACTTCACTTTGTTCCCTCATAATATTTCCTCACTTCCAATATATGATTTTGTTTGAATAAATGTATTGGGTCCATATTATGGCACTCCTAGCCGCTGTTTCTTACCTATCTACTTGCACAATCAATTAAATTCACTTTATGATGAACAAAAATTTCAATCTAGTAGTTCAATCAATGCTGCACTGACAAGATTTTTTATTCCCCTCGCTACCTGACCTAAATTAGTGCATATACTTTTGGGCAGACAATACCTCGATGTGTGGCAAACTTTGTTGAGGGCTGCAAGTGTCAGTCTCCTACTACTGTATCCATATGTCAACCCACAAAGAGGGTCAACCCTTCTACTCCATCTTGTATAAGGAAAAATAAAATCTTGTATAAAAATAATTTTCAGTGATTTCTTAAACCCACAATTTCTCTACGATTAGTATAGCAATAAGCAGATGTTTGCATGTCTAATTTCTGCACTCCAATAATACTATTGGTATAATAGGCACTAATACATCCAAAAGCCTCAAAATTTTGGTGAAAAATACTCAATTGTGAGCAGTATTTCATAATAAATATTATAGATAATGTTTACGTTTAATATTTAACGTAATCAGATTTTCCGAATCTCTCACAGTCTCATCAAAAAAAAAAAAGAGAGGCTCCCAAGATTATTAATTATTAGGGGGTTGACTCTAATCCTAGACCATCGGCTACAAGAACAGTTCCATTCTCTTTAACACAATCATTCTAAAGCATAATCAAATGGTTTGCCATAAACAAAAGGACCTTTCAGTTCCATTCCAACATTAAAATCACTTGCATGGTTTGTTATAACATACTGAAACCAATAATTAAACAAAATAAACTATCTTCTAGAAGTTCTAATTGCAAATACCCTCTCTCTCTCTTTGTGAGCAAGTATACAACAATGAGATCAGAACTCCTGGTTAATAGCCCAACCAGCAATCCTGTGGCCTATAAGGCTGGTGGCAGAGCATTCCCTATAGAAACTCCTATTTAGTTTTTACTTACAATTAGCACAATGCATCACTGTTCTCCAACAATTTCAAAGACATAAAATAATTTAAAAGTGCATTGTTTTGCTAAGGAACAAAGCTTAATTACCTCCTAGCTGAGCCTCATTGTCCCCACCACTCTCAACTTTCCCATCCTCAATCCCCAGTGACCCCGAATCACCGGAAACCTTCTTTGCTGGCAACAATTCCTCTGTTAGCAATGCTCTGGCGGCCGCAATTGCCGCTGCAGCCCGATCAATCACTTGCATTCTCTGTATTCTGTCTCTCTCCTCCGTGGACACTTCCAGAATCTTCTGGAACTCGCTGCTTTTTCTCTCCAACACCTCTGGACTCTCTGTTTCTTCTTCCTCATCACCACCAACAGTTCCTGCTGAGTTCTTAGCCATTTCCTCAAACTCAATCGACTTTCTTTCCCAATCCACTGCCTTCTTCCACATGTCCAAGTATGAATCACCCCCATTTAAAACCCTAATTCTAGTGCTTCTTATGGTTCTGGGTTTAGTTCTTTCTGTCGATTTTGACTGGTCTGGTGGTTCTATGGTGAAAAACGAAAATGGGTTTTGGTGTTTGTGCCTGTGAGGTGGTAACACGGTGGCACGTGTAGCGACGCGTGCATAAACATTGAAATGGGACGCCATTCTGGATACGGCACTGTTCAGTAAAGAGAGAGAGAGAGATCCAAAGATGTGTACTTCCGTGAATCAATTTATAATATTTTGGAAAAGGTAAAAGATTTTCTTGAAGTTGAAGGAAGCTTGTGATGCTGTCCCCTTCGGATAGGTACTTGTCCAGGTTTTAACGGATTTACCTGTCGGGTGAAGCTTGTACATCTCGGGTCTTTAATAGTTCTTATCAAAAAAATATTTCATATACGATTTAATTTGTTATTAATTCTTATGTGTCATATCAGAGTTTCGTGTATAATAAATATATAAACGAATTATAGTGTATATTTTTTTTAATTATCTTTACTCGTACTCGATTCGTTTATGAATCATATTATATCGTAGATAAAGATAGTACTGATCACACGATAGTTAATGGGCCTCCTTTCAATTGTATAATTTGTCCACTATAAATAATTGGAGAAGACTAGATGAATTTTTAACCGTNGAAGGAAGCTTGTGATGCTGTCCCCTTCGGATAGGTACTTGTCCAGGTTTTAACGGATTTACCTGTCGGGTGAAGCTTGTACATCTCGGGTCTTTAATAGTTCTTATCAAAAACATATTTCATATACACTCTAATTTGTTATTAATTCTTATGTGTCATATCAGAGTATCGTGTATAATAAATATATAAACGAATTATAGCGTATATTTTTTTTAATTATCTTTACTCGAATCATATTATATCGTAGATAAAGATAGTACTGATCACGTGACAGTTAGTGGGCCTCCTTTCAATTGTATAATTTGTCCACTATAAATAATTGGAGAAGACTAGATGAATTTTTAACCGTTGTTAATAGTCTAATTTCACCTTTGCATATCATCAGTCAGAGATAAAGAAAGACATGTTCAACTCACAAGAGAATTTCAACAGAACATTGAATCTTCATTTTATTGAATGCATAAACAACAGGACAAAGCATTTCAACAAACACAATCTTCCCCACTATGTCACAAACTAGGTAGGATCCTTATTCTAAAAACCACATGCAATACTCCCAAACAAACCAAATCAAAAGCCAAATTTTTTATTTTTTAATTTAAAGCTGATTTGAGAAAACATTCAAAGTATGCAAATTAAAAAAAAAAGAACACGAAAAATTAGGCGTAGATGTCGGGATTTTGAAGGAGATAGGCTTCCACAACCTTGCGCATTCAAATTGCACAAGTTAAAAAACAAGAACGAGGGAGATTAAGAGTAGGCGTCGGGATTTTGGAGAAGATAAGCTTCCACAACCTTGTACATTGCCATGACCTTTTCTTTGCCTGCCTTGATATCTTCTTCTTTGAGCACAAAATCACCATCTGTATAATAGTTGCTGGTCACCCTAGAGATTGAACCACCATCCGATGCCTGCTCGAATTTGATCTCATAAGTTATTTTCTGGAGCTTTGCTTCCATGGAATCACCTCCTACCAATGTGTAATTGTATGTGTATGTTTTTTCGTTGAGTTCGTCAATGCGATACTTCACAAAATTGAATTCTCTATCTACATAAAAAAAGATTCATATTAATTCATGTTTATTGTTGAATAATTGGCGTAGGGTTGTCCATGGGCCCAGCCCAACCTTGGAAAAATTTGGGCCATGAGACCATGCCCCATTCCACAAAAATTAGGTTGGGCTGTGAGTTTTCACCGATCACCTTGTCCCGTCTTGTGAAATAGCTCTTAAATGGGCAATATTACGAGTCGAGCTAGACTGAACTGCGTGCTATTTTTTTTTATTAAAAATAGTGAAAAATATAGCATAAAAGTCACAATTTATAACTTACTATTTGTTACTTATACAATTTAAGAACCAAAGCTTAAAATTATAAATTAAAAAATTGAATATAGGGTGGCTTTATAGGCCAANGTGTATGTTTTTTCGTTGAGTTCGTCAATGCGATACTTCACAAAATTGAATTCTCTACCTACATAAAAAAAGATTCATATTAATTCATGTTTATCGTTGAATAATTGGCATAGGGTTGTCCATGGCCCGAGCCCAACCTTGGAAAAATTCGGGCCATGAGACCATGCCCCATTCCACAAAAACTAGGTTGGACTGTGAGTTTTCACCGATCACCTTGTCCTGTCTTGTGAAATAGCCCTTAAGTGGGCAATATTACGAGTCGAGCCAGACTGAACTGCGTGCTATTTTTTTTATTAAAAAATAGTGAAAAATATAGCGTAAAAGTCACAATTTATAACTTATTATTTGTTACTTATACAATTTAAGAACAAAAGCTTAAAATTATAAATTAAAAAATTGAATATAGGGTGGCTTTATAGGCCAGGTTTCGAGCCAGCTCATTGGCTTCTGGAAGGGTCATGGCCCGTTTGTGGAGTGGTTGGGCCTCTTTTCGGACAGAGGTGGACCACATGTCATTTTTTGGACTGTCACAAGCTAGCCCAGTCCATGCACAACCATATGAAAAATCATCTGAGTATACAAAAACATATGTAAGTGATGTAACCTTCAACAAAGTTGATTTGCTTAATGCTTCCAGCCCCTCCATCGCCCTCAATGAATTCGATGCTCTTAATACCCTGTGGCATTAGTTTCGGAATCAAGTGGTGAGAGTCGATGATCGAAGCCTTGAACAACCTGGAAGGCGGGATCGGGGAAGCGTACTCCTCGGTGAAGGTGGTAACACCCATGATTTTTCTGGGATTTTTGAAGACAGATGAGCAACTAGAAGAAGGGCAAATTGGGTTTTTGTGGTGCTTCTTTGTTGGAAAGAAGAGACTACTAGAGGATGGTATTTATAGACTGAAGTAAAAGGCTCTTTATTTTTAAAATATTGTTTATAATATTTTGGTAATAGCATTGGTGATGGGCCAGAAGGCAGAATATATTCGGTTGCTTGTCCATTTTGGATGTCATCGGCCATTGAAAGCTAAAAACAATCACAAAATAACATGATCAGTGTCCATAGTGCATAGAACTCCTCCCAAGTGAATCATTATTGTAGTTTTTAAGACCATTTCCTACGACAAACATACACACACAGCTAAAATACTTGTCATTGTAAGATAGAATTTGTCTACATATTTTGAATATACAGATGTACAGGACAAATCCTTGNTTTTAAGACCATTTCCTACGACAAACATACACACACAGCTAAAATACTTGTCATTGTGGATAGAATTTGTCTACATATTTTGAATATACAGATGGACAGGACAAATCCTTGGATCTCCACTAGATGTAAACATATAGACAAAATAACCTCTTCTTGTTTTTTTTTTTTTAATGATCAGGGGTGTCCGAGTCAACTTACATGCACCTTGATTAATCTTCTCTTTGGCTTAGTCAAAGACAAGTCATCTACGTCGAAACTGAGGTATTTATGAGGGATAAATCCCTCATGACTTAGCCCCAAAATGTTATCAAAATTTAAATTTAAGATGTCTGAATTTACAGTTTANCCTTGATTAATCTTCTCTTTGGCTTAGTCAAAGACAAGTCATCTACGTCGAAACTGAAGTATTTATGAGGGATAAATCCCTCATGACTTAGCCCCAAAATGTTATCAAAATTTAAATTTAAGATGTCTGAATTTACAGTTTACCCTTATTACCACTTGAACTACCTTAAGGTTAGACAAAATAACTTTAAGACAAGAGTGAGAATCACTCATATGGCAATTGAGAAGCGAGAGTGATTTTCTTTCTTTGGTGGCATACTTTACTTTAACGATAAATGATTAAACTTGAAAGAAATTCATACGTACGTTTCGAATTTTAGGACTTGAAAAATTAGGAGGAAATAATTTGGACATGCTTTGTTTTGTGGTAAATACATTTAATATTCCCAAATGAAAGACAGAGAGGGATCCTCGTAAGGATTGACAATTATTTCATGGTCCTTAGAGGAATGTTGTATAGCTGTTTTAAGTGGTGCTGTGGTGATGGCTCAAGTTAAATCCCCACATATTTTTATTTTTATGAACCTCCCTTTCGACTCCAATCAATTAATTACAAACTAGTTTAAAGAGTTGATAGGTTTTCAGGTTACGATTCTTATGTCTATTATTACAATTTCATAGTTTCAGCCCGGGCTAGACTTTATACCAAAACATGACACGTGGAAAGTCATTTTATTACATTGGTTTACTTTTCTAATTGTTTATATGATTCATGACTATAAATAACTTAAATCAAGATCTACATTTAATTCACTTCTCAATACAGTATCGATAAGTTATTTTTTGGTATCATATCTAATTCCTTCTAGCCCTCGGTGAAATTGAACAAGCTGAAATGTGCTGTGAAGATTTAATATTACTGTTGTCAACAATTTTTACTTCTGCAAGTTATAGTCCTGAGCAGCCTTGCAATGCACTTGGCTTGCTGCAACAATTCCTTCAGTAATTGTTTTTGAAGTTTATGTTGTCTTAAACTGATTTTTCAAGACTTTTGTTAGCATCCCTTAGTGTGCCACATCAATCAAGTCGATTTTCAAAGATGAATTACTCATATGCACATATCACTTGGTATCAGGGTCTGATAACACCTCGAGTATGATCGGACATAAGATAAAATCGAATAAAGTACTTGTAGTACTAGATTAAAATCACCGATAGGTTTAGTGCATAAGCGTCATGTTGGCGGGTTAGAGTTGATAGTAATTAAATTGTTACATGATGTGAAGGAAGTGCTTAAATTTTGAATGCAAAATTACATTTTGCATAAAATGCTTCTCACTTATTGCTTCACTTGCACCGGATGCAAAATAAAGCTTGAAATGACCATTAAATGATATCAATTTTTTTAGGGTAAAAGAAATTTGTCTCACTGCGGACATTCTTTGAATTCATGACTACACGTGAACCGGAAATGTACACAATCACCGTCACCATGAGTCATGTCTGTCAGTAAAACTCAAGTTTTACGTCACCGAGAGGCATTCTAATTCAGGAGATGCGAGTTTACACGTTGCCTTTTGTTTAATGACTAGATCAATCAGCACAGGCTAAACTATCAATATCATTTTCCCTCGAGTTATAAACAATGGATCAATCTTCATTTTGTTATTGCCTTTTTATAAAAAGACAGTGCAAAGCATTTCAGAAGGAATATAAACCACGCATTGTTTAAACTCAAGCTATATGTGACTAGAAATGACTCGAACTTAGGACATGTAAGTTTACGCCTTGCATTTTGCTGGATGACCAAACCAAAGTCATAAACAGTGAAATCTTTTATTTTATTTCTGCATTTTTATCCAATTACAGCACAAAACATTTCTTAAAAGGAACATAAATCACAATGTCTATACCCACAACATCACAAGCTGGGTAAATTCCTTATTCTATAACCAGATGCAACATTACAACCAAACAAACCAAATCTGAAGCCAAAGTTTCAGACACACAGACTTGGACAAACATCCAAAGAGCATTAGTCACAAGACAAGAACATTGAAGATTAGGCGTAGGCGTCGGGGTTTTGAAGAAGATAGGCTTCCACAACCTTGTACATTGCCATGACCTTTTCTTTTCCTGCCTTGATATCATCTCCTTTGAGCACAAAATCACCATCCGTATAATAATTGCTGGTCACCTTAGAGATTGAACCACCATCCGGTGACTGCTCGAACTTGACCTCGTAAGTTATTTTCTGGAGCTTTTCAGCCAAGGAATCACCTCCAACTAATGAGTAGTTATACGTGTATGTCTCTTCATTGAGCTCGTCGATGCGATACCTCACAGAATTGAAATCTCTACCTGCATGGAAAAGGCTCATGTTAGATTTATGATATAGGATTGTGTATACGTCTGTCAATCGTATTAAGTAAGANTGCGATACCTCACAGAATTGAAATCTCTACCTGCATGGAAAAGGCTCATGTTAGATTCATGATATAGGATTGTGTATAGGTCTGTCAATCGTATTAAGTAAGGTGGGTTTATGTTGAGATGTAGTAGATTCGTGTTAAAAAATACTCGATTCATGCCTAATAGGATTATTAATTTGTGGTTATTGAATCATGTCATATTGAGTTTATATCGTATAGTATATAAATGATTTGTGTCGTATATTTCTTAATTGTGTTGTGTAGGGTTCACTCGTTTATAAAATAAGTGTTTAAGAAAAACCTAAATTCTTTAATTTCATATCGTATTAACGGATTGTATCATATTTTGATATTTCTAATTGTGTATAGAGCGTAGGGCTGTCCATGATCAGGACACAAAGCATAACTAAGTAATCTGACCTTCAACGAAGTTGACTTGCTTAATGCTTCCGACCCCTCCATCACCTTCGACGAATTCGATGCTCTTAATACCCTGTGGCATGAGTTTTGGAATCAAGTTGTGAGAGTCGATGATCGAGGCCTTGAATAACCTGGAAGGCGGGATTGGGGAAGCGTACTCCTCGGTGAAGGTGGTGACACCCATGACTTGTGTAGGGTTTTGAAGATTGGAGTGCAACTACAAAGAAAAGCTTGGATTTGGTGGCAACTCTTTGATGGAGAGAAGAGAACTCGAGAGGATGGTATTTGTAGGTTGAAGTAAAAGAACCCTTTGTTCTTAAAGTTGTTTCCAACATTTTGGAAATAGCATCAGGGGACGGCTAAATATGTTCCAATGCTTGTTCATTTACAAAAAGAACAACATCAGTTTCCAAAGTTTATAGAATTCATCCAATGTGAATCATTATTCTAGTTTTTAAAGACCGTTTCCTAGGACCATCACGCACTTTGACATACTAAAAAAAACATGCACACTCAGAGAGAAAAAGAGAGAGGGGGGGCAATTTTTTTANTCCAATGTGAATCATTATTCTAGTTTTTAAAGACCGTTTCCTAGGACCATCACGCACATTGACATACTAAAAAAAACATGCACACTCAGAGAGAAAAAGAGAGAGGGAGGGCAATTTTTTTTAAAAAATTATACCGTACTACCGATTACAACTTTTTATAATAAAAATATACCTTTAAAAACATAAGTTACAACTGTTCAAGAGAAGATTATGATTTATCATAAGTTTTCCTTGAACAATTATAATTTCTCTTTTATGAGTTGTAAGTTAATTTTTAAAATTTGTAACCTAATTTTTGAAAATTGTAATTTCGGTATTGATCACAACTTCCCACGATGGATCATACTATTTAAAAATTTTAAACTTAACTTTAAAAAATTGTAATTTTTTGTACAGGATCGTAGCCTTTCCCCAATTTACCTTCCATTTGGTGACAAATTTTCAAAATGATTTTTAAATCAAAAAAAAAAAAAATCCATTAAAATAAAAAAAATATATTTGAAGAACATACATGGAATTAAACTTGGAAGAAGAAAGTAAGTCTGGAAAAAAAAAGTTAAAATTTAATACATAAAACACTCGCCATTTAAAAATACTAAATAAAAGCAAAAAAGCAAAAAATTACTTAAAAAAAAGTTACCGAAAAAGTACCTTAATCATATAAGTATTCAAATGCACATGACAAAGCATTGGATCTAAACTAGCCTAAACAAACATATAAAATAGCTTTTAAGACAAAAGAAAGAATATCTCATATAGCAATTGGGAGGGAGAGTTATTTTCTTTATTCCGTTACTTCCCTTGAGGTTCTTAAAATCTCCCTTTATTACCTAAATTTGTAGTTATCTTCTCCGAAAATCGATATACTTTTTAGAGATTTGTTCTATATTATTTTGTTTGCTTCTTCGTATTTTTTACGCTCCCTCTTTCTTGTTTTCCTCGCTTAGAGATACATCTCCCTCTATAAATGTAATACTTTTAGTATTCATGTCGTCACCAATACTTCATATCAAGTGATTATAAGATGAAATTGAGTTAAAATAATTTTGAGTATTTGATGAATTGCTTTGACATTTTTCTATGGATATATAATTTGACAAGTTTGAAATAATTTTGTTTTTAGGAAATAAAAAAATTATAACNATTGCTTTGACATTTTTCTATGGATATATAATTTGACAAGTTTGAAATAATTTTGTTGAGGAAATAAAAAAATTATAATNAATTGAGTTAAAATAATTTTGAGTATTTGATGAATTGCTTTGACATTTTTCTATGGATATATAATTTGACAAGTTTGAAATAATTTTGTTTTTAGGAAATAAAAAAATTATAACGCAAAGACGAAAGTTGATTTTGATAGGCTTTCCCCAACCAAAAATCCAAAAAATTGACATTGACTATGATTTTTTGATTTAATCCTATTAAAAAATTCCAACTTCAAGGACTTGAATAAAGTAAAAATCTAAACACTAAATCCTAAACAGTATCTCAAAAGGTTACGTGTTTTGGGGATGTTCTAATTCCGTGGGAAAATTCATGTGAGTTAAAGGAAATTATAAAACTTGATGCATATTGCAAACGTTGTTTTTTATATACATTGATAAATAACTATTACAATGAACATTCTAATTTTCTAATTTAGAGGAATGCACAACGAACAAAGAGGTAAAGAAAAATTCGAGAAAAAAAAATACAATAGAACCGAAAGAGATGGACATAAGAAATCAGACTGATTCTTTTGGCAATTTATTGGCCCCTTTAATACCTTCCAAAAATAAAATTATTGACCCTTGACCTCTTAGATAGAATTTTAAAAAAATCAAAGATGACCAATCAAGCTCGGTCATGTTGCTTTGCAACAACATTCACCTGGCACAAAGTTAGGGATGGCAAAGCCTGCACATTTTTAAGTTTGGACAAGGTGAAGAATTTGACTCCGACTAAGATGACTGTCCATAATGTAAGGGGCACAACCCAAATAACCCTCGGCTATAACATGCTATACTATAGAGGCCTATGGGTAGCTGAGAGGCGTACATACAAATACTACTACTTACCAGCTTTGACTGGGACGACCTTGGATCCATCACCATCAAGCAGTGCCCTCTACCTTGGCACCCGTTGGACCTTTTATTTGAAGGAAAAGTATGGCAGTAGGATCATATAGGATGCTGACAATGCTAAGGTGCTCGAAACTATATAAAAAACACAGTGGAAATGGAAATTTCTATCTCTGCACTCAAGGAGCTGCAAAAGAATTATCTCCCACTAAACTTTAGACCTCATCACTTCATGTTCAAAATAAAGATTGGGTTGTATGGACTTTGATCACCTTATATTCCCTTAGAAAATTCTACCACGTGAAACACTCATTTAATTAAGGGCAATGCTATTGAGACATAATTTATGGACATAATTTAAAGATATAATGAATTGTCACNTCTGCACTCAAGGAGCTGCAAAAGAATTATCTCCCACTAAACTTTAGACCTCATCACCTCATGTTCAAAATAAAGATTGGGTTGTATGGACTTTGATGACCTTATATTCCCTTAAAAAATTCTACCACGTGAAACACTCATTTAATTAAGGGTAATGCTATTGAGACATAATTTATGGACATAATTTGAAGATATAATGAATTGTCATCAATGATATGATAATAAATTCATTTAATACTACAATGAGACTCATCATTAAATACATTTCAGTATCACTTCATTGGTGATAACTCATTATATTTTCATATTATGTCTCAATAGNTTGAGACATAATTTATGGACATAATTTAAAGATATAATGAATTGTCACCAATGATATGATAATAAATTCATTTAATACTACAATGAGACTCATCATTAAATACATTTCAGTATCACTTCATTGGTGATAACTCATTATATTTTTAAATTATGTCTCAATAACATTAGTGTTTAATTAAACATTAGCTTTAGATCTTCTCAACTGCATTTTTTTGGATTTATGGTAACAATACAAACTTTAAATATAATAGTTGATGTTGTTCTTAACAAGATTGAGTAGTGATGCGGATTTAAAGTGTACTGAACGATGTGATTTGGTTCAGTCTGAACTTTAATGCTCTTGGGAATAGGATCTTTGAATAAGTAAAGGGTCACACAGAGTATTTATAGTAGTTCACCAGCTTGGGAGTTCAGTTAATCCACTTTTAAGAGAGTGTCTTACTCCTAANTGGATTTATGGTAACAATACAAACTTTAAATATAATAGTTGATGTTGTTCTTAACAAAATTGAGTAGTGATGCGGATTTAAAGTGTATTGAACGATGTGATTTGGTTCAGTCTGAACTTTAATGCTCTTGGGAATAGGATCTTTGAATAAGTAAGGGGTCACACAGAGTGTTTATAGTGGTTCACCAGTTTGGGAATTCAGTTAATCCACTTTTAAGAGAGTGTCTTACTCCTAAATATATTAATTTTTAGCGTATGGTTTATAGAGAGTACTTTGCAAGACTACTATGGCTATCTCCTTTCTTGAGGGTTTTGCCTCTTATTTATAGATATTTCTAGGGTTTACTTGATCTGGGGTGCCCCTTAACTGTAACAGTTCTCCCTTATTGTGCAACGAGATTTGAGCTAGATGGGTGATTGACGCCAGAAAGATAGGGGACTTGGTGAGATCCAGCTGTCCTTTGAACAAATTTTCGTAAGGTATGAATATAGAGAGTTGAGATCAACAAATAATATTGATGAACTGAGCTTCCGATCTATCTGATCTTGTGAGCCGAGCTCACCCTTAGATATTTTGTGATAACATCAATAGTTATTCTCGAGCATGTGCATCGTTTGAACCCCGGTTTCAAGCCACCAAGGAAGTACAATTTCAGGTAATGTGAGTTTATGTTTCTGTCATGATCAAAAAGTTTATGTTTCTGTCCTTTGTCAACAATCAAATCGACCTGTCACTTTAACAATTAAACAATTTCATTTTCATAGAAGTGATAAACCACTGATACTTTATTTGCTTTATGGTTGCAATTTTTCATAACAACAGGACAAAGCTGAATATAGATCACATTCTTCCCCAACTTATCACTAGCTGGATAAGATCCTTATTCTAAAACAAGACTCAATACAAACCAAATCAAAAGCCAAAGTTTCAGACAAACAGACTTAAACAAGCATCCAAAGAGCATTAGTCACAAAACAAGGACACCGAGGATTAGGCATAGGCATCGGGATTTTGAAGGAGATAGGCTTCGACAACCTTGTACATTGCCCAAACCTTTTCCTTGCCTGCCTTGATTTCCTCTTCATCGAGTGCAAAATCACCATCTGTGTAGTATTTGCTGGTCACCTTAGAGATAGAACCACCATCGGGTGACTGCTGGAACTTGATCTCGTAAGTTATTTTCTGGAGCTTATCTACTAAAGAATCACCCCCAACCAATGTGTAATTGTATGTGTATGTCTTTTCATTAAGCTCGTCGATGCGGTACTTCACAGTATTAAAATCTCTACCTGCATGAAAAAGACTCACGTGAGATTCATCTTTGATGATATAGTGTGTGTGTGTGTGTATATATATATGNAGTATTAAAATCTCTACCTGCATGAAAAAGACTCACGTGAGATTCATCTTTGATGATGTAGTGTGTGTGTGTGTGTGTATATATATATATTGGATAGAAAAATTGTGACAATTATGGTGAATCGCTAACCTTCAACAAAGTTGATTTGCTTAATACTTCCAGCCCCTCCGTCACCTTCGATGAATTCAATGCTCTTAATACCCTGTGGCATGAGTTTTGGAATCAAGTTGTGGGAGTCGAGGATGGATGCCTTGAATAACCTGGAAGGCGGGATCGGAGAAGCGTACTCCTCGGTAAAAGTGGTGACAGACATGATTTTTAAGGATTTTTGAAGATTGAAGAGGTACTAGTGAGAATGGTTTGGTGGTGACTCCTTTGATGGGAAGAAGAGAATGTGGGAGGGTGGTATTTATAGGTTGAAGCAAGGGGTTCTTTATTCTCTCCAACCTTTAGAAATCAACATGGAAGACGGCCAAATATATTCAACTTCTTGTCCATTTTGCATATGCTATGGGTAGAGAGAGGCAACAACAATTTACAAAAGAACAAAGTTCAGTTTCCACAGTTTGTACGACTCTTCCAAGGTGAATCATTTTCCTAGTCTTCATGACCAATACCTAGGACCATCTCTCACGCACACACAATGTTAAACAATAATGCTACTTATATTTAATTTGAAAACTTAATCTAAAGACCCGAGGATTATTACCATTTAACTTCATTCAATGTTAGAACTCACTACGAAACCGATGATTATAATTCATTAAATCCGCCAATTAAGCTTTTAAATTAAGTCCTGATAACATTATTCTTATGTTCCGTTTGGTACGATGAAAAAATGGGAGGATGAAAAGTTAGAGGAATAAAAAAAACATCATGTTTGGTAAGAAAGGAAAGTAGGAAGAATGAAAAAGTGGATGAATTAACTTTCCTTCCAACTCACTAAAATCAATCCCTCTAAAATCGGAAGGAAAGTAGACAGAAAGTTAATTATTTGTGTTGAGATGCATCTTGTTTGTCTATATATCTTATGTATACATTAATTTTATATAAAAATATAATGGTAAAATATGTATATATATTTTTAAAAAAAATAAAAATAAAAAGTTAAAAAATTTTAATTAAAAAAAAATATTTTTTCCATGTTAACTAAGGGTGAAAATTTTAAACTCAACACGATAACACGACTCGAATTTGATACGAAAATAGACAGATCAACTCGCAACTCGACATGACACAATTAGTTAAATGAGTTAAATTTGGTTTGATTAATATTCGACAGAAACTCGTAATGACTTAACACGAATCTAACATTATACGACTCGACTCAATTGTCACCCCTAATCTTAGCCAGCACAAAAAAAAAATAATTTAAAAATAGTTATTTTTATTTTCATCCATCCAACCAAACACAAATGAAGGAAAGTGTATCATTCTTACTTTTCATCCTTGAAGGATAGAAAGTGTATCTCTCCTACTTTTCATCCTTCATATTTTTCATCTCTCTATCAAACGGAGCATTAGTGTTAAAATACTCTTATCATGTGTGGATATAGTTTGGACTCATTTTCAATATGTAAAGATGCACAGGACAAATCATTGGATCTCCACTAGATATCAACATACATACAAAATTCCTTCGAGACAAGAGAGAGAATAACATAGCAATTAGAAGAGTGGGTGCCCAATTCTAAGAGTTCGGATTGAATCATATTGATAGTGGATTTGGTATTGAAGGTGGAATTTCATTAAATTGAGGATCATATTATAAGACGGAGGATTACAATTTTTTTTTCAACATTACATACTTGGCATGAAATAAAAACATAAGTCTGTCGGAGTTTAGTCTGCAACATGACTTTTAGAGTTGCCATTCCTTGGTTAAATTTTGAAATTCATATGGGATGAAATGTGTACATATCCAAATATATATATAAAATAACTTACAATTCAAATCTCAAAAGATAAATAAAATGATTTTTACTATTCGCGGTTGCTTTAAAGTTAATCTAACGGCTAATATTCATAACTCAAATTTAATATGAAAAATAGGCTCTCTAAGGGTGTGTTTGGAGTGACTTTTTAAAAGTACTTTTAAAAATTATTTCTTATACATACTTTAAAAATAAATAGTGTTTCAAACCGCTCCACCACTATCTTTACCGCCACCGCCATTACCGCCGCAGCCGCCGCCACCACTGTCATCATCCTCATTGTCGCCACCACCCCCACCACTGCCATTGTCATCACCACCACCCCCATCACCACCATCGTCACTTCCACCACCTCCACCATCGCCACGCCCACCACCACTACCGCCACCACCACCATCGTCGTTGTCGCCGTCGCCACCAAAACCATCACCGTCTCTTACCACCACCACTGTCACCCACCACCTCTCACTTCTACTACAAACCGATATTTAAATTATTTTATGTTTTTTTTTATATTTATGATTTGATTTTAGATACAAATAAAAATATGTTTATTGTTTACCATTTTGTATTACTCTGTACCTTCAAGCACAGGTAATAACTAGTATATTATAAAGTAGTTTACAATTCAAATCTCAAAACATAAACAAAATGATTTTTGTTATTCGCGGTTGAGATCGCTCTAAATTTTATTTTAAAGTTAATCTAACGGTTAATATTAACACCTTAAATTTAATAGAAAAAATAAGCTAATAAAGGTGTATTTGAACTGACTTTTTAAAAGTACTTTTAACAATTATTTTTTTATAAATATTTAAAAAAATAGTGTTTGAAATTGTCCCACCATTACCTCTACCATCACCACTACTACCACCGCCACCATTATTGTTGCCTCCACCACTGCCCCCCCACTGCCATCGTCCCACCCCCACCATCATCATCGTCATCGTCACTGTCGTCACTATCACCATCACTGCTGTCACCCCCCCCCACCACCACCACCACCACCACCGTCACCATCACTGTCACACCACCACCAGTATCGCAATCACCCTCGTCGCCACCATCGCTACCACGATCGGTGTCACCCACCACAACTATCACCGTCTCTTACCACTACCATTGTCGCGCCACCACCTCTCACCCTCACTACAAATCAATACTTAAATTTTTTTATCTCTTCTTTATGCTTGTGATTTGATTTTAAATATAAATACAAATATATTTTTTATTTTTTATTTTTTATTACTTTGTGTCTTTAAACACGTGTAATAACTAGTATATATATATATATATATATATATATATATATATATTATTATCCACCCATCTGTTCTAATTAAAGATTCCGTGGAACACAAGAATTTCACACGTGTTTTTGCAAATTTACCTTTTCAGCAACTCTGTGTTTGCAAACTTCCCATTTCATCAACTTTGTGCTTGCAAATTTACCATTTCATCAACTTAAGTCAAATTACACTAAGACCCCTAAACTATGCCCCTCATTTTATATTATCCTCCAAACTATCAACTTAATTTCTTACATCGCCCAAACTATGAATTAATTAATTTGATTAAAATTGCCCCGGTTAACTTTTGCCTTAATTTTCATAACAAAAAAAGAATTCTAAAATACATTATCTCCTTATATTGGGAGATTTATTTTTATCCTAATTTGAAGTCAACGATTGACCATAAATGAAAGATTGGAACATGAAACTCAACTTAATAACTTAAAACTGCAATAAAAAAAAAATTATCTAAATATTTTCTAATACACATAAATAATGAGTCTAACCTGAATACACGATAGATCACTCATCGATAAACAATCAATCGTATTTAGATAAAAAAAAAACACATATAAATAATAGGTATTAGGTGAGTACATGATAGGTGAGCTAAGTAAACTTGTGAAAAAATAAGTTACAACGAGTCTAGGTTAATTTACTCACCTTAATTAGCGAACTTAATACCAGACAACACTCTTGAAACTTGTTCACATGAATTAATACAAACTAGCCTGCCACCTACTAGATAACAATTGGACGTCCCACCTAGTCACACACCGGTGGTGGAATTTCCGGCGACTGTGGGTCTGGTGGCCCAACATCAGGTGGCTTCGGAGGGATAAAATCAGGAGCGCGTGGCGGAAACACATCCGGCGGCCCCTGCGGGATGTCGGGACCTGGCCACGAAGGCATCGGCGGCTGCGGAATGTCAGGAGGCGGCCGCGACGGCATCGGTGGCAGCGGAATGTCAGGAGGCGGCGTCGATGGCATCGGTGACCCCAGAAAATCAGGCGTCGGCCCTGGAGACAGAGGTGGAGTATCAGCAGGCTTTTCTGGCGGAATTGGGTCGTAGTCCGGAACATTAGGGGTCCAAAGCACCTCCGGAGGCACAGCGGGATTGTGCTCGGGTGGCTCCGAGGGAAACTCCGGCGGAGTTCTTAGAGGCACGTCAGATTGGTGGTGACGCATTTGGCCGGAAATTAGAGAGATTGAAGCTGGGCAGCCGTGGATAGGGTTGATTTCTTTGAGAGAGATGGCATTGGAAGATTGAGACACAGATGATGGTTTGGCTATGGTTGAGATTAATGGAGAAAAAGGTGTAGTTTTCTTTATGAGGTTCAATGAGACTGCAGAGACGGTGGACATGTTGCAAAACATCACCTAACTTTTACTAGTAAAAATGAAGTAATATTAAGGTGGGTTTGCAAGAGGTGGAAGATTAAGTGAGTAGGAGAAAGATGTTGCATGCGGGTGTTTGACACGTGCATATACGTGGCTTTACTAGGACGCCTGGAGGGCTTACAGGAAAGTGTCGGCATATGGAATTAAAAAATAGAATAAATTATACCAATAATCCCTAAAATTTATCACTTATTATAATTTGATCCTTAAACTTTTAATTTTATCAATTTTATCTCTAAAATTTAAACATTGAACTAATATAATCCTTAACACTAATTAGGACAAAAAATATCACGTACAAATCTCATGCACCTTAAGAAATATTTTTGATATCTTTTAGACAAAAGAGAGGGTAAATGAGTTTGTATTGCTCTGTGAACTTAATGGGGATTATCCTCAGCCTATGGTCTAATGATTAATGAAAATAAACTTAGGATTTCCCGAATCATAAAAGATGTGGACCGTACCAACACTATACTCGAAATTTAGATAACTGCACGAAATAATTCCTACAATCGTGGAGGCAGCGAACTCCTAATCGCCGAACCTGAAACAACTGGGTCAGGAAAAAAAACGGGGGCCAGGCGTGTGCCCGGCTAATTTCCTCCGAAGCTTAAGTCAGTGTAAGATCGAAGAATTTTACTTAATGGACTTTTTTTTGTTCGAGTTTGCGTACCTTTATCCATTTTTCTGAAAAATATTTATACCTGAATTAGTAATGATTGTCAAAAATTTTCAGTCTCTTATGGACATCTCACATCTGACACACCATTCGTCGTGCAATGAGTGTTTTCTATTCATGTCTCCTCCTATTGAATGCTAGGAAAATGGGGTAAATGCTCGGCCATGCGCCGAGCATTTATGCCACTCTCCGAGTATCCAAATCCAGCAGGTCGGCATCTGACACCAACTAAGTATTGAATACTCGGCAGAACAATTCTTCGGGAGAGCCGATTGTGTCATCTCAGCGCATCAGCCATCATGATAGTAGACTTAGACTCCTAGAGAACAGGTGCTGGCAGGCGCGCATTTATTTGCCCTGTCACTATCACTCATTCCGCCATAAATGTGAGGCAACATCGCATTAAATACGATATCAACTGTCGTACTCGGCCGCTCCGTGTCACCATACCTCGACTTACCTCCTCAGCATCTTTTGGACATCCCAACGGTTTCCTTATTCCACGTGTCAACCTAAGAGCTGAAGAGTCACCCTAGAGTCCCACCAATAAGTATTCACTTTAAATAGTAAGTAAAACGAGTTATAAATTCAGATATCTTAAACTTAAATATTGACAATCTCTTAAAATCATAACTAGTATGTTTTTAATTAAACAGGAGAAAATATTAATCTAAACACCTCTTACTATGAAATTAAAAAAAAATATTCACTTTAAGTCCTCTTTTATCAAATTTATATTCAAATCGATTGGTGAGAAGGTTATGGTCTTAACTGCAAACAAGTTCAGCAATGCTTTACCATTTACAAATCCATAATTATGTCAATTTTTTAATTTTTAAATTTTTAATAGCATTATTTGTGCATAAAAAGAAAGAATAATGTTTTTTTATATTTAATTTACTAATTGATAGTAAATTTCAGTACCCATAAATACCATGACCCAACAAATCTGATAGTTATGATGAGAAATTAAGTTAATAAATTATATTATTAAATTATATGTTGATAGCATTAGAGTATTTGTAAAATGCAACAATTTCAATACTAGACAACCCTAACTGGGTAATCGTTTACATGTTTATCACAAGCTTTCCACCACTTAGACAACAAGGGACATAAACGAGGCTGCCACCGACTTTCGATTATCCGGCCACATACTTTGGGGGTGGCGGCCCAGGATCCGGCGGCTTTGGCTTTATAATCTCAGGTGCACGCGGCGGAAATACTTCTGGTGGACCCCGAGGGATGTCTGGACCGGGCGGCGAAGGTGTCGGCGGCCGTGGACCATCAGGCCGAGGTGGGGACGGCATCGGTGGGCCTGGATTCGGCCCAGGAGATGATGGTGGTGGATCAGAAGGCTTTTCTGATAGCAACAATGGATCAAAGTCTGGAACATTAGGAGTCCGACGCTGCTCCGGCGGCGCGTGAGATGGATCATGGGCTAGCTTTTGACCCGAAAGAAAGATTGGATTCAGACTGTAAGATTGAAAGAGTGATGAAGGTTTTATTTTCGTTGAGGTTGATGCATAAAACTGGATCGTCTTCTTCATCATGAGGTTGGATGAGAAACATGAGATTGTAGAGACACTGCACATACTGGCAAGAACAAAAGAATTTTTGGTAGTTGGCGATGAAATTGTGTTTTTTTCCTGCATGCGGTGAAATATAAGAACACAGCAGTAATATGGTGCATGTGGGTGAATGACACGCGTATATACGTGGCCTACGAGCAGACGTGTAGGCACATGTATATAATGTCTAATCGATATAAATTGATGTCGGTCTAACGAATTATAATATGTCAAATTAAGTCATATTATGTATTTTTTTTATAGCTTTATTTATATTTAATTTATTTATTAATTATGTCGTATTGCCTCCATTTGGTTACAAACACATGTAATTTAAAGAAAACTCAAATCTTTTAATTTTATGGTGTATTAGTGTCGTGTTATATTTTAACACTTCTAATTTTAGGGCATGCATGAAAGTACAACCACACAAATTTGATGTAAATTTTGATAATAATACTAGTGGGGCTGAAAATTATTAGATCTTCATAACTATTATATTATTAAGTCGGAAAACTAGTTCTGTTTTTCAGATATAAATAATATTACACAAATTTGTTTAAAAAAAATAAAATTACAATTCGCAATTTGAACTTTTCAATCAATTATGCCAGATAATTCAAAACTAGCTTGACCAGTACAATTAATAAATCAAAATTCAAAATAGTGTTTATAATAAGAATATGTTTGATTTAAGTATTAGGAATGACCGAATTATATAAGATTGTTCATCTCTTATCAATCCATTCAGTCCTTGAACTAATTATAGTAATAATCCCNGGATAGAAAAATTGTGACAATTATGGTGAATCGCTAACCTTCAACAAAGTTGATTTGCTTAATACTTCCAGCCCCTCCGTCACCTTCGATGAATTCAATGCTCTTAATACCCTGTGGCATGAGTTTTGGAATCATGTTGTGGGAGTCGAGGATGGATGCCTTGAATAACCTGGAAGGCGGGATCGGAGAAGCGTACTCCTCGGTAAAAGTGGTGACAGACATGATTTTTAAGGATTTTTGAAGATTGAAGAGGTACTAGTGAGAATGGTTTGGTGGTGACTCCTTTGATGGGAAGAAGAGAATGTGGGAGGGTGGTATTTATAGGTTGAAGCAAGGGGTTCTTTATTCTCTCCAACCTTTAGAAATCAACATGGAAGACGGCCAAATATATTCAACTTCTTGTCCATTTTGCATATGCTATGGGTAGAGAGAGGCAACAACAATTTACAAAAGAACAAAGTTCAGTTTCCACAGTTTGTACGACTCTTCCAAGGTGAATCATTTTCCTAGTCTTCATGACCAATACCTAGGACCATCTCTCACGCACACACAATGTTAAACAATAATGCTACTTATATTTAATTTGAAAACTTAATCTAAAGACCCGAGGATTATTACCATTTAACTTCATTCAATGTTAGAACTCACTACGAAACCGATGATTATAATTCATTAAATCCGTCAATTAAGCTTTTAAATTAAGTCCTGATAACATTATTCTTATGTTCCGTTTGGTACGATGAAAAAATAAGAGGATGGAAAGTTGGAAGAATAAAAAAAACATCATGTTTGGTAAGAAAGGAAAGTAGGAAGAATGAAAAAGTGGATGAATTAACTTTCCTTCCAACTCACTAAAATCAATCCCTCTAAAATCGGAAGGAAAGTAGACAGAAAGTTAATTATTTGTGTTGAGATGCATCTTGTTTGTCTATATATCTTATGTATACATTAATTTCATATAAAAATATAATGGTAAAATATGTATATATATTTTTAAAAAAAATAAAAATAAAAAGTTAAAAAATTTTAATTAAAAAAAATATTTTTTCCATGTTAACTAAGGGTGAAAATTTTAAACTCAACACGATAACACGACTCGAATTTGATACGAAAATAGACAAATCAACTCGCAACTCGACATGACACAATTAGTTAAATGAATTAAATTTTGGTTTGATTAATATTCGACAGAAACTCGTAATGACTTAACACGAATCTAACATTATACGACTCGATTCAATTGTCACCCCTAATCTTAGCCAGCACAAAAAAAAAAAAAAAATTTAAAAATAGTTATTTTTATTTTCATCCATCCAACCAAACATAAATGAAAGAAAGTGTATCATTCTTACTTTTCATCCTTGAAGGATATAAAGTGTATCTCTCCTACTTTTCATCCTTGAAGGATAGAAAGTGTATCTCTCCTACTTTTCATCCTTCATATTTTTCATCTTCTCTATCAAACGAAGCATTAGTGTTAAAATACTCTTATCATGTGTGGATATAGTTTGGACTCATTTTCAATATGTAAAGATGCACAGGACAAATCATTGGATCTCCACTAGATATCAACATACATACAAAATTCCTTCGAGACAAGAGAGAGAATAACATAGCAATTAGAAGAGTGGGTGCCCAATTCTAAGAGTTCGGATTGAATCATATTGATAGTGGATTTGGTATTGAAGGTGGAATTTCATTAAATTGGCCCAGTGGCTAAGTGAGGATCATATTATAAGACGGAGGATTACAATTTTTTTTTCAACATTACATACTTGGCATGAAATAAAAACATAAGTCTGTCGGAGTTTAGTCTGCAACATGACTTTTAGAGTTGCCATTCCTTGGTTAAATTTTGAAATTCATATGGGATGAAATGTGTNTTTTTTTTTTTGCTTGAAATATTTATTAAATGTTGATAGGGTGGATTGAAAATATAGTAATTGTGTTTATAATTATATTATGTTATTGGATTGAGTGGTGGTAAATGTGATAAATTCATGAGTCTTATAAATAAACAAAATTTTATTTATTACTTAAAAATTGTAAATTACAATGGATTAATGTTAGTATTTATTTTTTTTCGAAGACATTTGTATATATGGTGTTGTTTTGAAGAGTTTTATATATTTTTACAATAATTTTATTAATATGAAGAATATGATCGACAATATATTTCGAGTTATTTTAAAAGAAAAATTGGTATAAATATTTTTAGATCATTTTTTTTAAAATTTAGACAATTGTGTAAAAAAAAAAATTTGTTATATATTGTTTTGAGACACGAGTAACGATTAGTAATATAATATAGAAGGAGTTGTCAGCAAGATCCCTTTGATAATGCATACGTATGTCGTGCGCAAGCGCCTAACGTAAGATAATGTATCCGGTTGAAAATTATCAAATAATTGAAGGACACGTGGAGACATGTAAGGCACCGGTCGAGCTATGTTCAAAGGCTTATGTGTCAAACAGTGACAGCACAAACACAGCGAACCGCTTGAACTACACGGCGTGTGAAGGAAAGTAGACAACGACGTCCACTTGTTAATTGGACTCCTATGTGTGGAGCACTGTGGCTGCGTTTCATACTCTTCAACGCGCCATGGGGGCGGTGATCTGCAGTCGGAAAGTGGTTCCAAATTTAAGTAAATTGTGAATTTTTATTTTGTTAAGAACTTGGAAGAAAAAAAATAAAAAGAGATGTTTTCCCTTAAACTCAACTTTATTCAAAGATGATTGATCTTTAATTTTTTAGTGATTTAAGTATATTTCAAATAAAGTTTTTTCGAATGGCGTGCCTTACCCCGAAAAGGGGAGGATTTTAATACTGTTTCAATCACACACTGAAAAAATCTTTTGTTTCTAAAAACGATATGAATTCAACGTGACTTATTATACCTATTAGGAGATAACTCATTTGACAACTAATTGAAATCCTACCGTGTCATACTAAACGACGATGGTGGTTTCATACAAGAGAATGACGATTTTTAGATATGTGAAGACAAGAAAGTTTTTATCACAGAAGTTCAAAGGTCGGTAGCTCATCGTAGAAACTGTTGAAACTCAGGGTAGCACTCTACATGCTTTTCACTAAGACTTGACCATGGAAGTNCATCGTCACTGTCGTCACTATCACCATCACTGCTGTCACCCCCCCCCACCACCACCACCACCACCACTGTCACCATCACTGTCACACCACCACCAGTATCGCAATCACTCTCGTCGCCACCATCGCTACCACGATCGGTATCACCCACCACAACTATCACCGTCTCTTACCACTACCACTGTCGCGCCACCATCTCTCACCCTCACTACAAATCAATACTTAAATTTTGTTATCTCTTCTTTATGCTTGTGATTTGANGATCTTCCTTAATTGGTTTTTTGCGGCCTCTAAAAAAGGCAAAACTCTAAAGTCATAGAATTTAACACAAATATAATAGTTGTTTTTATAAGAAACGTTAGAAATTTTTATTGATCTCTAACAAGAAACGCTAGAAATTTTTATTGATCTCTAACAACCGGTAATACTTAATATATTAGAGGAAGGGTAATAAAAATAAAAGAGCCTCCTCCCTCCAGATACATGGATAAGTACAATTAAAACTATATTTTTCCAAACAATATGTCGTAGCATTTNAGATTCCGTGGAACACAAGAATTTCACACGTGTTTTTGCAAATTTACCTTTTCAGCAGCTCTGTGTTTGCAAACTTCCCATTTCATCAACTTTGTGCTTGCAAATTTACCATTTCATCAACTTAAGTCAAATTACACTAAGACCCCTAAACTATGCCCCTCATTTTATATTATCCTCCAAACTATCAANCCCCCCCCCCCCCCCCCCCCCCCTCTCTTGCCCCTTCCAAGTTCCAACTGTACCACCCCAAACCCAGCCAAAAGCTCGCAAACTCAGAACCCTTTTCCCTCTACTGATCAGAGAGTGATTCAGATTCTCTAAGGACTTTCACTCAATAGTTTTGGTTCATTTACAATGACCCATTTCTTTGCTTATCTATCTGGGTGATTTTTAGGGTTTGATTCTAGTGCTAGTATTTGGGTGTATAGCGAGAGAATTTTTGGTTTTGTATAATCAGAGTGATGCAATCGGGTAGTTCAGAGCAGGTGCGATCGGTGGCGGCAGCGACGGACACGAGAGGGAAGCATCGGATTTCGGCTGAATTGAAGCGGCTTGAGCAAGAAGCTCGGTTCTTGGAGGTTAGTTCTCGTTGTGACTTATATTCTTTTGCGTTCTTGATGTTTTGATTTTTGCTAATCTTTGGTGGTTGGGTACTTTTTGGTTGATTTTCTGGTTAACGCGGTGTTATTGACTTAATTGACTTTGACTGGAAAAGTCGTCATTTTGAAGTGGGTTATGAATTCCTTGAAGAAATTGTATGTGTTAGTTTTGGTGCATTGTTGGTATAGTGTAAGAATCAATCTTGAAATGGGCCGTTTATTGNAATGAAAGATTGGAACATGAAACTCAACTTAATAACTTAAAACTGCAATAAAAAAAATTATCTAAATATTTTCTAATACACATAAATAATGAGTCTAACCTGAATACACGATAGATCACTCATTGATAAACAATCAATCGTATTTAGATAAAAAAAAAACACATATAAATAATAGGCATTAGGTCAGTACATGATAGGTGAGCTAAGTAAACTTGTGAAAACAATAAGTTACAACGAGTCTAGGTTAATTTACTCACCTTAATTAGCGAACTTAATACCAGACAACACTCTTGAAACTTATTCACATGAATTAATACAAACTAGCCTGCCACCTACTAAATAACAATTGGACGTCCCACCTAGTCACACACCGGTGGTGGAATTTCCGGCGACTGTGGGTCTGGTGGCCCAACATCAGGTGGCTTCGGAGGGATAAAATCAGGAGCGCGTGGCGGAAACACATCCGGCGGCCCCTGCGGGATGTCGGGACCTGGCCACGNTCTAATTAATGGCATGGGGTACTTTAATCTTTATGTGAAAATCTGAAGGAAATTTGATTTGTATTTTTCCTCAGCATCTGCTATTTAGAAGGAATTGATGGTTTGGTGTATTCTTTCAACTTGGGGAAAGGTTTTTAACTGGTAAAGAATCTTTGGTGACTACTATGGCCATTGGGTCTTCTTTATTGGCTCATGACTGCTAGATATTTGATTTTTGTTACGCGCCAATCGATTGGATTAGCTGATACAATAGAATTTGAGACGGTTAATAGAAGTTGCTTTGGAACTATGTAATTTTTAAATCAGGGTCTGGAGGTCCTGTTCGCCACGTGGATCGCTTGAGGGACTCTCAGTGGTCTTGTTTCTAACCTCTTATTTGGATGATTCCTAAATGCTGATATGATAACTGTCTGCATTTCTATAATTGTAAGAGCTGAAAAGTGTAATGTGTGCGTATAGCATTCACGATGCCTGCATATGTGTTGTTTTCTAGTTCATTTATACAAAAGCTGTATGAGAACCAAATTGTACTTCTATGCTCTGACTTTGGATTAGGAAGCTGAGTTGACCTAGCCATAAATAGGATTATGTAGGAAGCATAAATGCACCAGCGGATTCTAGATTTTAAGAAATGTGGCTGGCATTGGTAGCAGCTGTTGTTCATAAGCATGTTATGTGACGTATTGCCATCAGGATGATTAAAATTTTAAGGAAAAAGGGCAACGCATATATTTCAAAGCATGGACAGTAAGTAACTGTCATGATTCTAAAAATCATTTGAAAAATTGTGCAAATTCGAATGAGTGATAGCTGGATGGAAAAGAGAGTTAAAAGCATCATTCAATGTCATACACCACCGAAAAGCTCTTGAAACTTGAGTTGCTTAAACTTAATTCTTTGGCCTTCTATGCATTGTTTGTAATCAGGTACGCAGAGTATATTGTCGGTTGCATCCTGTAAATCCCAATTCTTTTAATGCTTTTCTAAGGAAATCATCTACGCCTCAATAGGATATTCTGACCAAACAAGGAATTCCTCTTTAAGTGACATATTATTTCCTCGTCCTCAGGAAAAAAGAAATCAGAAGTAAGAGAAAAAATGAATTTAGCTTCAGTTTCAGGTGCATAATAATTTGGGACCCTGAAAAAGTATTGCAAAACCACAAGGCATAACGTCATTTATTAAGTGGTCATTTAAATTGTGGCATGCCTTTACTTGATAATCATGAGCCAGTATAATCTATTGAGGTGTAGATGCCTAGATGTAATGTTGAATTTAAGATATTCAAACTTCCATTTGGGATGTGATAGTATATGATTGTATATCAATCTTCAATGTGTCTATCTAAGCTCCGGTTGTTAGCTCGAGTGGTATCTCCAACCACCNTTTGGGATGTGATAGTATATGATTGTATATCAATCTTCAATGTGTCTATCTAAGCTCTGGTTGTTAGCTTGAGTGGTATCTCCAACCACCGCCAATGAGTAGGAGAAGGAGGAGGAGGGAACCCATCAACAATGCTACATCCACCAAAACTTTTACCAAATTTTTTATTTGAATCCCAAATCAATGTGCGTCATAGGATTAGTGGGTCCCACAAACTTTCACCCACTACCCGATGACTATCAATGTGTCACGTCATTTGAGATCTAAAATTTGGTAAAAGTGTTGGTGGACATATCATTTCCTGGGAATCCATTCACTTGTGTGTCACATTTTAATTATCTGCATGTATGTTATTAAATGATGTATGTGCACAAAATATCTTGATTGTGTGAAATACATGAGAAGATGTGAAAGGAAACTCTTCCTTCCCGTTACGTTTAGTTGCTTTTTATGTATGAAGCATGCAGATAGAGTGGGAAAGGACTATATAAATTAGGACTTTATTGAAGTGTGTAAATATAAGATTTAATTCCATACTCTATGTTTCATAGGAGTTAATGGCATTTTAAGAGGAAAAGTAGGACTTATTGGTTGNAAACTCTTCCTTCCCGTTACGTTTAGTTGCTTTTTATGTATGAAGCATGCAGATAGACTGGGAAAGGACTATATAAATTAGGACTTTATTGAAGTGTGTAAACATAAGATTTAATTCCATACTCTATGTTTCATAGGAGTTAATGGCATTTTAAGAGGAAAAGTAGGACTTATTGGTTTTTCCCATATATTTATATCCAAATTATTGAGATGTTCAAGAAGTAACGGACATTTAGCCACTGAGTGATGGTACCCATAATTTAATAGGGTATACAAAAGAAGATAGGCGAACATTATTTCCCGTTGTAGTATCCTGTCTGCTTCCCCCTAGAAAGCTTCACTGCCTGAGATTGGTCACTTTGACTCCTTATTCAGATAAGTCTCTATAAATGTAGAGTTCAGAGGTCTGGAAGAACCTTCGTAGCTGAAATGGAATGATGTGGAATGTGAACATCTTTGCTGTGGACAATGCATTCCTTTCTTGAAGCAGTAGGGAAACTCATGAGAGGAACTCCTGGAACTTTTTCCTCCCNAAACACATGTAATTTAAAGAAAACTCAAATCTTTTAATTTTATGGTGTATTAGTGTCGTGTTATATTTTAACACTTCTAATTTTAGGGCATGCATGAAAGTACAACCACACAAATTTGATGTAAATTTTGATAATAATACTAGTGGGGCTGAAAATTATTAGATCTTCATAACTATTATATTATTAAGTCGGAAAACTAGTTCTGTTTTTCAGATATAAATAATATTACACAAATTTGTTTAAAAAAAATAAAATTACAATTCGCAATTTGAACTTTTCAATCAATTATGCCAGATAATTCAAAACTAGCTTGACCAGTACAATTAATAAATCAAAATTCAAAATAGTGTTTATAATAAGAATATGTTTGATTTAAGTATTAGGAATGACCGAATTATATAAGATTGTTCATCTCTTATCAATCCATTCAGTCCTTGAACTAATTATAGTAATAATCCCTCTTAATCCCATATTTGGTTTAAATATTACTAAATAGTGGGCCCACATTTATCTCATCTAATATTTTATTCTGATGAAATATTAAATTATGGTATAAATATTAAATTATTAAAAAAACCTTCAAGATAAATAGTGATATCCTAAAAATAATTGAGGGTAAAAATATCTTTTAACCAAATACTTCCCAATTTGACTTTTTAAATCCACCAAAAAAGTAGGTTTATTTAAGAGATTTAATAATGTTATGTTGATCAAATTAAAAGTCTAAATGACGTGGCAGTATATTATTTGAAGTTTTTATTGGAGGCCCAAATGACATAACATCAGATAAAGAAGGCCAAGTCAGTTTTTCATGTCATTTGAGCTCTTAATTTGATCCTAAAATTTAGTCAATGTAGCATTACTGAGGTTATATGTAGTATTAAATATACTATTCATCCAGACTGATATTATTTTTTGACGATAATACTAGACTCAAAATGCGTATTCAAATAAGAGTATAAGAGGGATAAGATGGACCCGACGTTATTTGTTTCAATCTTTTTTAACTAATATCTAAAGGAAACACACTCTAATAGTATTTTCAACGACAACTTTGCGTCTTAATGTATTACAGTCGTTAAAATAAAGTGAATATCATTTGACAATGAAATTTATTGTTAGTTTAATGATAATAATGCATTAAATTGTTAGAATTAAGATACAAGAAAATTAACTTGGAAACCTCCGCATCTTAGTGGGTTACTCACCCATTGGGATAGGAACTGAGTCCTAATTCTTAGAATTAGGCTCCGTTTGGTAGGGATGATGAAAAGTAAGAAGGATGAAAAGTAAAAATGATACATTTTTTATCCTTCAAGGATAGAAAATAGGAAGGATACAATTTTTCTTCCTTTGTATTTGGTTGGATGGATAAAAAATAAAAATAACTATTTTTTTCGTGATGGCTAAGATTATAAGTGACAATCAAGTCGTGTCGTGTCAGATTCGTGTTGAATTATAACAGGTTTGTGTCGAATATTAGTCAAACCTAACTTAACTCATTTAACTATTGTATCGTGTCGAGTTANGATCAAATATAAGCAAATATTTATCTTAACACAAAACAATTACTGTCGTATAAGCAAACATCCCATATGTATGATGTTTGTAACGCAGAAACCAACAAATATACAATCACTTATGTTTTGTTTGGGAGGAATGATGGAAAGTAGAAGGGATACACTTTCTATCTTTCAAAAATAAAAAAAATGAATGATATACTTTCCTTTCTTTGTATTTGGTTAGATTGATGAAAAATAAAAATGATTAATTTTTTTTTTTGTGATGGCTAAGATTAAGGGTAACAATCGAGTGGTGTTGTGTCAAATTCGTGTTGAGTCATAAAATTATGAGTTTTTTTTATTTTTTGTTCGCGTGCTAGGTCATTTTCAAGTTCTGTCGAGTTATAATCAAGTTTATGTCATAAAATTTGTGTCGAGTTCAAGTCGTATCATTGTGTTGAGTCAAAAATTTTCACTCCCAGTTAAGATGAAAAAAATATTTTTTTTTAATAAAATATTTTTTTATTTATTTTAAATTATATATATATACATATACATATTTTATCATTATATTTTTATATGAAATTAATGTATATATAATATATAGACAAATAAGATATATCTCAACACAAATAATTAACTTTTCATCCACTTTTCTTTCGATTTTGTAGGGATTGATTTTGAAAACCTGAAAAGAACGTTAATTCATCAATTTTTTCATTTTTCCTATTTTTCTTTCTTACCAAACATGATTTTTTATTTCAGTAATACTACAGTGACCAAATTTTGGCTCCAAATGATATGGCAACATAATATTTGGAGTTTTGATTGAGGTTTTTTATTTATCCCTCAAACTTTTCATCTTTCTATTTTTTCCATCGTACAAAACAGAACATTAAATTATGAAAATAGAGATAACTTATAAATTCAGACATGTTGAATTTGAATCTTGACAAACTCTTGAGATTAGGTAATGAGGGTCGCTTATGGATATTTTAGTATCGGCGTGAATGGTCTGCATTTGATGGAATCGAAGAAGCGATTAATCGAAATACGAATAAATTGACCCAAACAACTTTGCGTTAAAAAAACAAAAAAAAATCTTGAATAATCTATATAATAAAGGAGTTAGAATTCTTTATCTTTAACTTTTCGCGGCTCAAATCGCTTGACAATTATTGATCTGACGGTTCTCATGCCAAATTTTTCTAAGACTCTTATTGCTCATCTAACTCTCTTTATATCTGTTTTATACTCTTTTTTTTATATGTCTCTCTCTTGTATTATTATCTTATTTTTTCTGTTTTTCAAGTGTTATTTATTATTTACTCCATAAAACATACGAAACTACAT